ATTATAACTCTAATTCAAGCAGAATAACTTGTCAACATAATTATGGAGTGTAATTTATTTTCAACTCAAAATGTCTTCAAACTAACGAAATATAAAGTTATTAGGGAGGAAAACCCGTCTGGATAACAGCAGACTGACTGTACGTAAAATATACGACAGGTCTGGACCACTCGTAAATTTTGTTCGTATCTGAAAAAAATCGTAGAATACGAAAACTTTGGTGAATGCCACGAATTCTCCTAAATCACTCGTACGCACAATTTAAGAACAAATCTGTGCGTACCAACGGTTCTTGCATGAGGCCCAATGTGAACTCAAGGGATTAGGACTGAACAGCTGTGTAGCCTTAAGAAAACCACTAATCAGTGAGGCTAACCCGAAAAAAATGACATCAAAATGATGTCATTTTGCTACAGAGCTTAAAGATTGGACTCTGGACAAATGGAAGGAGGTCATGTGGTCTGATGAGTCCAGATTAATCCTGTTCCAGAGTGATGGGTGCATCAGGGTAAGAAGAGAGGCAGGTGAAGTGATGCACCCATCACACTGTACAAACCTGTGGGGTCAGGTCTATGATGTGGGGTCGCTGCAGGTGGTCAGGTCTAGGTTCAGCAACAGTTTGTCCTCAAAGAATGAGGTCAGCTGACTACCTGAATATACTGAATGACCAGGTTATTCCATCAGTGGATTGTTGCTTCCCTGATGGCACGGCCATATTCCAAAATGACAATGMCAGGATTCAYGGGGCTCTTATTATGRAAGAGTGGTTCAGGGAGCATGAGACATCRTTTTCACACATGGAYTGRCTCCACAGAGTCCATTGAGAATCTTTGGGATGTGCTGGAGAAGGTCAGACTCTASCATTATCAATGGAAGATCTTGGTGAAAAATTAATACAACACTGGATGAAATAAATCTTGTTTATCCAAACAATACCACAGAGAATGTGTGCCGTAATCAAAGCTAAAGGTGGTCCAATGTGTATTGAGCATGTGACCTATTTTTTTTTTTTTTTTTTTTTTTTTTTTT